TTCCACTTTGCATTTAAGTCTGTGATAAATGTTCTTACTTTTCATATAAAATGTGAAGTTCATTTTGAGGTTTTGCGGTTTTTTTCACGAATGTCCAATTGCTTCAACACTTTCTTTTTTTCTTTGTTTCTCTCTTTCTATTTATTTTTGAGATAGAATTTGCTACATAGTTCAAGCTGACCTTGAACTTACTATGTAGCCCAGGCTTGCCTCAAACTCTTGGTGATCCTCCTGCCTCAGCCTCTGAGGGCTGGAACTGTAGGTGTGCACCACCACGCCTGGCCAGTACTGTTTTCTAAAAAGCTCTCATTCTTCCATTGAGTGGCTTTGCACCTCTGTCAGAAAGTGGTTGGACGTACTTATGAATCTGTTTCTGAGTTCTCTGGTCCATAGCTCAATATCTATCCTTCTTCCAACCTCACACTGTCTGGGTTACTGGAGCCATGTTATGAGTGCTGAAATCAAGGATATTTCTCCCACTTTATTCTTCTTTTTAAAATTATTTTATCTACTTCAGATCCTGTGATATCTTTTTCCATATAAACATAAGAATGGCTGGCAAAATCTTGTGGGAATTTTACTGCAAATCACCTTAAGTCTATACATCAATTTGGGGAACTGATATCTTTACTGGGGGAGTCTTTCAATCCATGAACATGGGCTACCTCTCTACATTGATTCAGGTCTTCTTTGATTGATTTTATTATCATTTGATAGTTCTCAACATATAAACTTTGTTAGATTTTTACTTAAGTATAATCTAAAAGATTTTTGGAATAATTGAATATGCTTTTTATTTGGGGTTTTACACATTCATTAGAATATGAAAATGTGATTGACATTCATTTGTTGGCTTTATTCCTGCAACCTTGCTGAACTCACCTATTAATTACAAGTTCTTAAAATACATTCTTTGGGATTTTCTATGTAGACAACAATGACATCTTCAAGCAGGGAAAATTTAATTTCCTCACTTCCAATCATCTGTATGATTCTTATTTATTTTTCTTTCCTTATTGCACTGGCTAGAGCTTACAGCTGAACAAGAGTGAAAAGACTGGATTCCTTGCCATGTTGTTTTAGAGAAAAGAATTCAATGCTTCACTGAAGTACAATGTTATCTCTAGGGTCTGTGTAAATGCAGTCGATCAAGTTGAGGAAGTTTCTTTCCATGCACAGGAGGCTTTTTTACTTGGACTGAGTGAAATAAATGTCTCACCAACTTTGCTGTTTTGTGTTAATATGTAACAAGTTGTGATATTTATGAGCATGAGGTTGATCGCAGTATTCTCTTACGGTTCCTTTTAGTGGCTGCAGAATCTATAATGCTGTCCCCCATTTTTGGTGTCCGCTCCAGCTCCTTTTCCTCTTCCTCCTCTCCCCTCCTCCTCCTTCTCCTTTTTCTCCTCCTCTTCTTCTCTCATCAGTCTTGCTAGAGATGTTTCACTTTTAATGATTTTTTTTAAAGATCAGCTTTTTGCTTCGTTAATTATCTCCACTGTTTTTCTCCCTATTTCAGTTTTCCTGGCTTTTGCCTTTATTTCTACCTTTTCATTTTTTCTGCTTCCTCTGGGTTTCTCTTGTTCTCTCTCGAGGCAGGAAGTTAGGGTACTGGCTTGAGAGTCCTCCCTCCTAATGTAAGCATTTAATGCTGCTTCATCTTTCTCAGAACTGCTTTGGCTGTGTCTCACACATCTTGTAAACAGCGCTACATTTTGTGTTTATTTAGTTCTATGTATTTTTCATTTCCTCTCAGACTTCCTCTTTGACTCAGGGGTCACTTAGAACTATGTGTTTTAGTTTTCTAGTGTTTAGAGATTTCCCTTTTATCTCTGTGTTATTAAATTTTAGTAGCCTTTTTGGTTTGAGAACATATTTTGTATAATTTTAACTTAAAAACTATTGAGGCCTGCAATCTATTTTATTTGGGTGAGTGTCCCGTGGCCCTTGGAAAAGCTTTCCTAGCTGTGAGGGAATCCAAATCCCATACGGAGTCCCTTCCTGATCAACTCAGCTGTAGGAGATTCCTCAGGAGTAACCTGACCGATGGGAAGGAATCATCGCATACCAGACTGCAGCCTTTTCTGAAAAGCCCTTTCCACTTCCATCTTCTCTGCCCAATTCCTTCTCACCTGTGACTCCTTTGCTGTGTCTCTTCTTTCCTTTCTTCCTGTCCCCACAGCCTTTGCAAGGTCCCTGTGACCCCTGGCCTTCATCCCTGGAGCTCACCTCCCACCCACAGCCCGTCCCACTCCCTCCCTCTTTTTCTACAGAGACAATTTTCTCTCTCAGATTCTCAGATTTGCCTCTTCACCCATCATCTCATAAGGGATTTTCTTGTGATCAGTTCTTTGTAGAATGCAGAAGGCACAAGAAACGGAAACAAATTTCTCTACCTCCCAGGTCCCCCTCTGATCCTCTTGGTGTCTGCCCTAAGGTCTGAGCTGTGGAAGGCATTGTGTTTTTTTTTTTTTTTTTTGTCTTGAATATTTGAACAACATGACATAATCTTAGTATTCTTGGTGGCCTGAGATTTCAAACCCTACCCATGATATTTCATAGTTCTTGAGAAAATGGAAAAAACATTTCAACTGTGTGTTTGCCTAATGTTAACAGCACACATCTGTTCCCTTCTGTTTTGAGCCCCTGTGTACCCAATGGGTCGTACTCCTTCCCTGAGCTTCAATCCTCCGCTGTAAATCGGACAGGCGCACAGTTGCAAGGACAAACATGGAAATGTGTGATAAAATATTTGGCATGGAATAGCTCAGCAGACAACAGTTATTTTTTTCTTAATTATTTTTGCTAATATATGATGTGATACATACTAGTTACATTCATTTGGGGAAATGGGTCTTATGTACGTGTCATATCCTGACCATTTTCCACCCCCTGTACCTGCTCCCTGCCCTCCCTCCTCCACCAGGTCTCTCCCTCCTCTCCACACAGTCTGCCTTTTTGTTTCCTACCTTCTCTCCTCTATCTTACCCTTTCCTTTAGTTATATGTTAGGTTACTCATAAAAGAGAAACCATATAATATTTACCTTTCTGTGTCTGACTTATTTCACTTCATATCATGGTCTCAAGATCCATTTACTTTCCTGCAAATGACATGATTTTATTCTCCTTTCTGGCTGAGTAATTTTCTGTGTGCCTACATACTGCCTTAGACCATATCTTCTTTCTTCCTTCCTTCTTTCCTTCCTTCCTTTCTTCCTTTCTTTCTTTCTTTCTTTCTTCCTTCCTTCCTTTCTTTGTTTCTTTCTTCCCTTCTTTCTTTCTTCCTTTCTTTCTTTTTCTTTCTTTCTTCCTTTCTTTCTTTCTCTTTCTTTCTTCCTTTCTTTCTCTCAGTCCATGCTTGCAGTACATGATGACTAGTGTTGGAAGGAAATTGGTACATGTCTGTAATACATCTTATTCTTTTCACATCCCTTCTTCCTCTCTCTCCCCCTCTCTGCATCTCTTACTTGTTCTTTTCTGGGTTGGTATGCTGTTGTTGTGCACTGTTAGGAATGATGATGTCTTAATTGCTTTTTTTTTCCTTCCTCTTTCTTGCTTTCTCACTAGCTGGCCAGATATCTCCGTGCACATGTGCAAGCAGCAATCTTTCTGGGCCCGTAAGCAGACTGCATGTAAGGGAATTCTGGACACCAGATTATAGACAGAAGCATGCAGGCTATTTCCTGGCTGACCCTGAAGCCCTCCCAAGAACGTTCTTTCACACTCTGTCCCTTTCTCTCAGGTAATGCAGCTGTAGAGATGGTGACCTCAGATGTCAACTTATGTGTACCAGAACTCCAGTCCCAATGTTGCCTGATCTCTGAATCAGTGTTTAGAGGAAGACTGCCAACTTATTAATCATCCCTATTAGTGCACAGGGTTGGGAATGAACTCTTTCATGTCGGAGCCCCTTACCCATTTTACTGTGCTCTAGGGGCTAGAATTTTCTTTCTTTCTTTCTTTCTTTTTTTTTTTTTTTTAGAATTGTCTTAACTAGCATAGAAATCAGTACCATGAGGAGTGATGCTGCCATGCCAGACATGGACATGTGTGGCATTAGCTGAACGAAACTGATCCCAGGGATGGAAAGCTGGAAAGCCCTGGCTGGCTGGGGTGGGGTGGAGGAAGGAAGGCTCCCAGTGGGTGTAGGAAGTGCAGTGGAAGTGCTTTGGGTCCGTGATGGGAGTTATTTCAAGATTCAACAAACTATAGACATTACATGGAGGTGGGTTATTGTGCATAAACTATATTGTCATAAGTTGTTTTTGAAAAAGACAGTCCCCGATATAGACAGATCTCCTACTCTGAGAGTCAGGTGGGAGAAACTTCTTAAGGAAGCACACTCAGACAAAGCCAGCTGGGGAATGGGGCATGGGCTGGGGGAGCAAGCTGAGCAGGTGTGGTGTCTGCTGAGGCCCTGGGCAGTCCAGCCTCAACCTGCAGGGCCTGGAGCTGGGTTAGGCCCTGTCTGTCCCTGATAGGAGATGGCAGCAGGAGGTGCCACCTGGCTCTGTTCCGGGGGGAGAGCAGGTCAGGTCTCCAGGGCAGAGCTCAGGGGCAGGTGCTGGAAGCCAAGTTATGCAGACGGAAGGACACCCAAAGTGGAAGGAGGTCTCACCCACGGCCAGCCCTCTCCCCCTGCAGGGGAGGCCTCAGCCTTGGCTGTAGAGAAGTGACACATGCAGCTTTTCTGCATTTGTTAAAGGAAGTGTACAATTCTTCTGACTTCTCAGGCAGGCTCTGGAGTGGCATGGAGGGAACTACTCTGGCTCCCAGGCTATGAGCCGCCCAGCCATCAGGCTGCACCCTCAGGCTCCAAGGAGGTAGCTGCTGGGGAGGCTGGGCTGGGAACCAAGTTGACCCAGCCGCCCTCAGGAAGAGCCACTCTCCACTTACATGATTTCAGGCTTGTTGCTTAACTGCTTGCCCCAGTTCCTCCTCTGATAAGGAATGAAAACACACATGCTTACCTCACAGCGGTTTTGAACAGGGCCAGGCAGGATGCTGCACGGCCCCATACCTACCCTTTGGTCATCGCCGCCCCGTCCTCTGGGCCGTTGTGCAGATTCCTCCAGGATTCGGGACTGACATCCCTCCCCTCCAGACCCACACGGGCTCCTCTGTCCTTTCCCAGCAGAGACCCAAGCAGGTTTTGTAATTCATTCACCTGTGCACTGCCCCAAACATGGACTTCGGTGTGTGTTGCAGGTGTCCAGCTTCACCTTGGGCAGTGCTGGCAGCATCACTCAGCTGAGAACTGTCTGCTGCTCTCAGCCCTCAGGTGGCCTCCGGGTGCCCTTCCAGCCCTGGGTGACAGACACCTTAAGACTTCTTGTTTAGTGAAGAACCAAGCAGACATTAAACTCCACCTGATAATAAGCATCTCTGCTGTCGCTTGGAGAGAAGGCAGATTAGCTAGAAGATCTACCTGTATTACTGGATGAGCAGAAGCTTCGGGACACAAGATGACCAAGTCCCAGGGATCTGCGGCACAGTGAGGTGCCCACAGCCATGGAGGCTGTGATACTGCTGGCAGGTAGGCCTTGTGCGAAGAGGTCTTAGCACCAAACTAATCTCACACACGTTTATGATCCATACAAGAAATGAACAGAGCTTTGGTGTGTGAGTCAGTCATTACTCACAAAGGAGCTTATTTGTGTGTGTTGCACTGCTGGGATTTGAACCCAGAAACATCACAGTGAGTTACATCCCTGGCCCCTTTTTATTTTTGAGTCTTCAGATATGTTTTCACTATATTACTCAGACCAGGCTCATAACTTGTGATCCTCCTGCCTCAACCTCCCAGAATGCTGGGATTCCAAGTGTTCATCACCATGTCCAGTTTAATAAAGAAGCTTTAAAAATCCATTATTTATCAGGCATGGTGGCACACCCCTGTCATCCCAGCACTTGGGGGCTCAAGCAGCAGAATCTCTGTAAGTTAAAGGCCAGCCTGGGCTACATAGTGAGTTCATGACCATCCTGAACTACATAGTGAGACCCTGTCTCAAAAGCAAAACAAACCAAGTCTTTTATTTATCCCTCATATCTCTTTTTTCTTTTGTCTATTTTGTCTATTTTGCCTTTCTCCTTCCTCTCTCTCTTGTTTTTAAGGGTTCATCTTGTAGTAGGAGATGGAATGGAAAGTCAGTACTTCTTTAGCGACATTATCCGGTTCATTTGTGTTTCTTCCTGTTTATCTGGCAGTTCGTCAGATTTGCATTTGCTAAGAGGGCACTTTCCATCATGGGCAGTGGGGTGCTGTATTTTCTGAAGCATTTCTAAATCCTGGTTCAATCCTTTCCTTCCTCACTCACTGCTGGGCACTCAGTTTTGGATGTTTCCATAAAGAAACAAAACCTACGGGATGACATGACAGCAATCCTCTGGTGGGCTGAGCTCAGAGAGCGGGGCTGTGTGCATGGTGGACTGCACTCAGCCTTACCCGGTATTGCTGGGGGAGTAGATATCCTCTGTTTTTGATTATAGTGGTACTGCACAAGAACATGTGGAAATCAGTGTGGATACTCAGTATGGTTGATGCAGCTATACCTGTCCTTGGTACTGTATAACCAAAATAATTAAAGTCAATCTAGTGTAATGGCCTATACATCCACATTTATTGTGGCACAATTGACAATAGCCATGATGTGGAGCCACCCTAGCTGCTCACCCACCATGAGTGGATGATGAAAGTGTGGTATATACACAATGGAGTATCATTCGACTGTATTACTCAAATTTACTAAATTATGTGCTTAAATTAGCAGCAAGCAGATGATATTTTGATATGTTACTACTTGAAAAATTTGGAAAAAATTTTAAAACTTTTGTCATCAGATGTCAGAAAACACTCATCTTTTTTCTTTAAGTAATGGAAGTGAATAAAGTTCAATATCTCATAGGAATTAGTTTCTTTAAAGCCTTGTATAGAAACTTCTCAAATGAAGAAGTACAAATGGCCAAGAAATATCTGAAAAATTGTTCAGCATCTTTAGCCATCCAGGAAATGTGGGTGAAAACCACAGTGAGAAGCCATCTTACTTCAGTCAGAATGGCTGTCATCAAGAATACAAAAAAAAAAAAAAAACAATAAATGCTGATGGGGGTTCAGGGAAAAAGGAAGTCTTCCAAGAGGCTGGCAGGAGTGTAAATTAGTGTGGCTGCTATTGAAATAAGTATGGAGGGTCCTCAAAAACCCGAAAGTACAGCTATAGGTTGATACAGCTATGCCCCTCCTTGGTATGATATAACCAAAGCAGTTAAAGTCAGCCTACTGTAGGGACCTGTACATCCATGTTCAGTGTGGCACAAGTGACTGTAGCCATGATGTGGAACCAGCCTAGCTACTCACCCACAATGAGTGGATAATGTAAATGTGGTAGTATATACACAATGGAGTATTAGCCAACCATAAGAAATATTGAAATTCTGCCATTCACAGAAAAATGAATGAATCCACAGACCATCATGTTCAAGAAAATAAACCAGATGCAGAAAGACAAGTATCACATGTCCTCCTTAATATGTGGAATCTAAAAAAAAGAATAAAGTAACAGGGGGATGGATAGGAGCAAAATAAACACATTGAAGTCCTCACCCAAAGTGTGAAACTAGGGGGAAAAGTGGGCAGAAGGTGATGGAGGCAAGATGATCAAAGTAAGTTACATGCACGTACTAATCTGCCAAAACAAAATCCATTCTTTTTTTATTGTATTAGCCTTGCATGAGGAAAACACAAAGACAAAAAAAGGTATGCATATAGCTTCCTTACAGAAATCGCTACATTGTAGGAAGTACTGTGATTTGTTGAATTCTGATGAAGAAGGTTTCGTTCCAGTCTCCTTTCTGCAGATCTGTCATCTGGTGGTTAAGATTGTTCATTAACCCCCTTCCATGGCCACCATCGTAGCCATCACTGCCACTGCAGGTGATGAGGTGGGCTCTGAAAAGCTGCACTGCTGTTCATCCCCTGAACTTCTAGTGGCTGATGCCAAGCCCAGTGTCTCTGTGTCACCACTGGTGAGAAAATAGCATGGGAAGCAGAAGGCTAGTGTTGGAATTCCCACCCTACTCTTTGGTCATGTGTGATCTTGGTTCCCTTATCTGCAGGTTAGGGGATTACCAGGCCTCACTTCCCACTGTGGTGCACCATGCACTTACAGGAGAGCTGCTTGCACACACTGTGGTGTGAATTGCACCCACAGAGGTGTCCCACGGAGGCTATTCTGGGATGGACCCAGTAATAATTGCCCTAGTAAGTCAAAAGGCGGTGAGTTTCTAAGCAGAAAATATGTGCAGCAAGGCTCTGAAAGCTCTCAAACACTAACCTCAAATAAGGTGGCACCAGTACAGTCATAACCTTCAATAGCTTCCAAGTGCCTATGGAATCTGCTCTAAGCTCCTCATCTGTTAATTATATAGCCAAGACCAGTGGTTGATCTTATCTTTCCTCATCTTCTCCATCTCTGCCAGGCCCACACCTACCCTGTCTAGAGATGCCATCAGCCATCTGTTGACATCTCATGGAATCAAGAGATAAAAATCTCTGGGTGAAGGGAAGGGAATGAAATCCAGTGGGACCAGCAACGATGGTCCTACAGAATCCCACCCTCTGCTGAAGAGACTGTCTAGTGATTCTGAATATCCTGCCCAAATAGGATTTCTGAATATGTGTCACCATAATTGGATGGATGGATGGAAGGAAGGAAGGATTGGTGAGTGGCTAGATGGATGGGTGGCTGGATAGATGGATGAATGGATGAATATTTAGATCTATCTAGAAAAGAACCTTTCTCCATCCTTTTCTCTTTCTTCCTCTCTCCATCTCTCTTTCCCTACTAGCTTCCTTTGCCCTTTACTTCTACCTTTTCCTTATCATGAAACATATATAGCACAGCACTATACATGTCAAATGTCTGATAAACACTTGGTAAACTGAAGGATATGTCCAGTTATCTAGTTTATCCAGGATGGCACCATGCATGGTTGGAGCTTTCCCCATAATACCGGGTAAATATTTTCTCTCTGTATAGCATCATGCTAGGCCCCCAGGGACACATCGACACACAGTAGAGGCAAGTGACACTGCTCATGAAGCTTATGTCACAGTGGAATTTGACCTATGCCTTACATTGGCTTATCTCTATATATCCTTTTTGCTGATTCCATGACAACCCACTGACACATATCTCATCCTTTTCAGTTTCCGGATGAGAAAGCTGAGATCCAGCAGGTCTGAGTGATTACCCCAAGGCTGTGTAGTGTGGCACCACAATTGCAACTCAAACATAAGTCTTCCTGAGTCGTCTCAGTGCTACAGCTTGACAACCGGGAAAGTCTCTGGCTGGACCCCACAGAACATTTAGTTTGTCCCTAGTTGCCACCTTCCCTATGTGGAAAGTCTCGGTTTATCTTTCATTCTGGCTCCCCTTGGGTCAAAGAAAGGCTTATTGGAGAATTGCAATCCTCTCCCCAAATGAGACATGAGCAATGCCGAGGGAGTAGAGAGCCTCTGGAATCGCTGCTGGACCCCAGCTCTCTGCATCACGGAAGCTCCTCAGCTGACTGCTCGGTGTGGGCTGCCAACAATCAAAAAGAAGAACTGTACCAAATTCAATATCTTTCTGAAAACCTGCAGAATCTGGGAACCTAGCTTATTTAAAACAGGAAGCTCTGTTGTTTACTACCTTGCTAGTATCTCACCAGATGGTATCTCTGTTTTTTACTTGTGACGGAGGGTACCTCTAGGCAGATGCCACTCTGACTTCACGAAGCCACTGAGTACCCCTTATCTCCTCTCTGTTTTCAGCAGGGTAAGAACAGATTGAAACACCACTGGAGTTGGTCATTTAGGAGACATTACCAGGTACGGTGTAGGGTATGTAGGAAAAGGGAGATGGAAGAGGGGAGACGGAGGGCAGGTGGGAGAAAAACTTCCAGAAGCATTCTTGGGTTTTGGTGGGCAGAGGAGGGCAGTACATGGCGATATAAGTAGGAATGGGCCAGAGGATTTTGCTGTGTTCATTTTCTTTGTGCTTTCTCTTCTTTTCTCTTTGCTTTTTCCCCACTCATGTCTTTTGCACTCATCTGAATTTGACTTTTATGCCCATTCAACTGACCTTGCCTCACTGCTTTCCTTTACATTCAGAAATTCTCAACTCTAGAGAATGCAGTCATTCCAGGTTGCTACGCTTAGCACTGTGTCTGTGTTTATTGATACAGACTTGCAAAAACAAGTCAGTGAAAACATAATTTATATGCACATGTGTACATATGGGTGAAGATGTGTGTGTATTAAATATATCTGTGTGCAAATATCTGTTTACTTTAAGGTTTCATTGCAAATCCACTCTTAGTCAGGCTGTGAGACGATCCAGCTGATAATGGATTGGGTCTCTTTGCGTTCGGTGGATGAGGCTGACTGGTTGCTGACTTTCCTACCTGTGTTACAGTGCGGTCTTTCGGAAAACCTTGATTAGGCTGAGGGTGGAAGTTAGCTGTTGTGTGATGAGATTTTGAGGACAGTGGTGAAATAGGTTATTCAGGGTATGAGAGGGCTGGAGCTGCATAAACCTGAAGCTCTCTTCAGAAGGTGGCAATGAACCAGGTGTGGTGGTGCCCACCTATAATCCCAGCCCTCTGGTAGGCTGAGGCAGGTTCACAAAATGAGCCCAGCCTGGGCTGTTGAGCCACATAATGAGACCCTGTCTCTAAATTTAAAGCAACCAGCAGGCCTAGTTATTCCTCCTTGGGAAAGAAATTTTAGCTGTTTGTATGACTCCATAAGAAAAAAGTAGGCACACCCAGAAGAATAAATACAGTGAACAACACGAGCAGTTCATTTGCAGGGAAGAACATCAGACTGACGAACAATTACTTTCACGTCTTTATTAGTATGTGTTTGCAGTGTAAGCGACCCTGGGGATAGGTGGGCTCTTTTGCTTTTGCCCTGTCGCTGTGCTGGCTTTTAGAGCTTGCGTTAAAGGTGTGATTCTATCACAAAAGCCCCTTTTCATGCTACTTACACAGGTTGGAGGTTTCGTAACTCACAGATAGGAAATGGATTCATAAAACTGAGAGACTTTATTGCAGGAGTGGCACCCTGGGCTCAGTGGGGGAGCTTGAAGCAGCACAAAGCTGGGCTAAATGTTCAGGGCTGTGGCCTGGGCTCTGGGACCCCATGGGGCCCTTGGGGGTTCCCCTTTGCTGCCAGAGTTGGGAAGCTTTGGTGTGGTCCACCTTTCTGCTCCTAGGAACCCCTGGCAGGCTGTCGCCCAGCCCCTGCCTGAACTCCTCCAGCCACGGCTCGCCCAGCGCCTTCTGAGGTAGCCACGGCAGAGTCAGGTAATACTTATGACACGCTTTCCAATGTAGCAGTTAAATTAGCCTCTTCCAGCTGCCACCACACATACTTGTCATTTTCATCTACACAGACAGCGTGTTGTTTTTTCTCTTCCCCGAAGTGTATTTCTTCAGGGTGATAACAGGGCTCCCTCAGCTCCTCTTTACTAGACACCATTTCCTCTTGTAGATATTCCATTTGATCAATGTTTACATTAATCTGGACACAGGTGGATGCTTTAAGATGCTGTGAAATGATCATGTCCCATACTCTGCATATAATACTTCTCCTAATTTACACTAAGTTATTAAGAGCAAATTAAGTTAATTGAATTAAGTGCACATATAGGAAGTTTTGTTTGGATTAATCCATTGCATGCTAACTTTATGGTAAACTAGAGTTGAGGACTTTTGTTTAAAAAGTAGTGATGCCCAGTTTGGATAAGCTAATGTCTGTAAATACAAAAGTGGTTAAAATAGCACACAGTGGAATTTCCTGCATCTACTAGAAAGAAAGAGGCTATTTTATAACTACTGATACAGAAAGATATCCAAGATGCATTACAAAATTTAAAACAATCAAAGAAAAATAAGTAATTTTGCTCTGAATTGTGTACAAAGAAAACTACACATTTCTGTGAGTAACTGCATAAATAAATACTCAGGATGAACAAAAAATTTTTCCATGGGATGAGGAGGGAATTGGGAGGAGAGAGTAAAGGGGATGTTTCATTTGTCACAAGTAAAATCACATCAAATTTTACAAGTATACAGATTATAGCACATACAACAGATCAGTTGGAAAACTGGGAGACTTATACCTGAAAGCAAAAGAATCCCAAGTATAGCAGTTTAAAACATACAGGGGAGGGAGTATTGTGACCATTTTCTGATTGGCTTACATTTCCTGACCATTTCCTGATTGGCTGACCTTTCCTGATACACTGACTTTAGGAGAGCTGTCCCCGCCAATGAGTCTACATTCGTCTGCTTGACTGTCACTGAACATGCTGACAAGGACATAAACCATACCGGCTGTGGCTCCTTCATGATCAGAGCAGTCACGTGGGGGTCATTGTTGGGACTTCAGCTTTGGTAGCGCAGCTCTGGTGATTGGCCTTGGGACATGTTGAGTCCATAGCCTCCATTTTTATCTTCCTGTAGCAATGCTCCCCTCCTGGCTACTGTCTCACTTCAACTGTGAACAATGGGGCCACTGATTATAATTTCTCCACCTACTGTCCTCCATAGGTCACAAACCAGATGCTAATTCTTTTGGTGATTCTTGTTCTTGTGGTCTTTGTCTGTTTGTTTGTTTTTGAGGCAGAGTTTCACTCTGTAGCTCAGACTGGTCTTGAGCTCATTGTGTAGCCCAGGCTGGTCTTCAATTCAGTGCAGTATTCTGTCTCAGCCTCCCAAGTACTGGGATGACAGGCATGTAGTATCATGCCCGGCTATGTTCATGTGGTTTTTGATGTTCATTTCTCATGGAATCATATGTTGAGTGAATGGCTGCTGACAAGCATCTAAGGCCCTTGAGAAATTGCAATCAGGTGGGTTCTGGTCAATAGGACGAGAACAGGAGGGAATACCAAGAGTTTGAAATATGCCTCCAAACCAACATGCCCTGGAGATAAGATTTAACAAACCAAACCAGTCACCAATGATGCCTTCTAATCTGAGCAGGGCCAAGACCTTATCTCTTTGGTATCTGTGCAGTAGATCCCCAAGCATCTCAGCAGCATTTCAGGTGATCAGTGTTACACTTGAAGTTGCTGGGAAAGATTGCATCCCATAATCAGCATGCAGAATTTTTACTAATTTAGGTTAATTAACATAAATTAAATTAGGTTACATTAAATTAAAGTTACATGAGGGAAGTTTAAAAGTAAACTTGGAGTTACAATTCCTGCCTTACTGATGTAGACACAAATAGCATTTATTTTGCACACTGCTCTCTCACTCTGGTGGGTTTTCCTGTCTTGCAATCTGAAGGTCTGCAGGGTGTCACTATGTTCTCCGGAACTTTTGACACTGCCCACCACAAGGCAGCAGACACAAAAGCACTGGGACGATTTCTTTGAAGGGGACAGCAAGTCACCTAGGTGCCGCTGGCAGGACTTGGCTAGGGGAGAATCCCACCTCGAACTTAGCAGAAATCTATGCCTGTTGGAGCTCTTTTCCAGAAAAAAGAGCTTATAATTTTGTGTCACAGATGTTTTGCAAAAGCTTTCAGAAGTCATCAGAGAGAAACTATTCTGTCCCTGGGTGACAAGGGACAGCCACCAGACAGCCTTGAGAACTGATTATAATGCAAATGAAGAAGAAATTTGGTTATTAAGTATAATAACACTCCTTTTGACTGATAATTACCAGCACATGTCAGATATTTAGAAATTTCATCTAATTTCTGGAACATTTGTGTTAATAACAGATAGTTATACACATATAACACAGAGCCTTAACATAATTTCTTATTGAAATTTGCTTCACATGCAACTTGATATGTCATGGAGACAAATTACTTCAACGTTTCTCTTTTCAAGAAGAGAGAGTAGAAATTCTATTGTTGGTCTTCCACGTTCTCAGCAAATCTTGAAATTCACTGAAGGCTCAAAAGAGTATATTTAGAATTTGATTTGAGGAAGTTGCCAAAAAAGTGAAAAGATTACTATACTTGACTGGTGAGGACCTTAGTTATCCATTTGACCCAAATGACAAATGATATCAAAGGCAAATACAGGAGTTTCTGAGGACTAAAAAGGAAACTCTTCAGCTGATGATTCAGTTTTCTCAGAATCAAAAACCCTGATAAGGTCAGCATACCTATGTTTCAGCTTTAAATATTATTACAGTAAAAGATGCATTGCCATGAGTCCCCCTTAAAGTCTTCCCCCTTGCTTCAAAAACACTTATCCCATCTTTCTGGCCAGTGGGACAGTTTCATGGTGCAATGGCAGTCACACATTTTCCTTTCTCTTTGTTTTTCATAAACATTTGTCTGGGATTCTTCTACCTGTTCCCCAAAGCCCATGTGTGTCATTAGGGAAGAGCTGAAACAGTGGCTCTCATTTTGATAAATCTTAAATAAATGTTGGCATCTGTGTATAGCAAAACGGTAACAGTGGTAGAGTTCATGGAGAGGTTTGGGGTGGGATTTGCATTTGGTTTTGGGCTTTTTCAATTTGTTCTTGTTTGCTTACTCACCCAATCATTTTTCCAACATGTAAGAAGCCATTTTGCTCAGCCTAATTCTAACCTTTTGACCATACCAGATCTAAATATTCATCTGGATTAGGGCTAGGTAGGCCGAGGACAACCACTTGTCTCTGGCCCCATGTAAGTAGGAATCAAGGACTCAGCTGCAGACCTGGAGAAGCCTGCACATTCCCTGAGCTTTGACCTCAAGAGCCCAAAGCTCCTGGCCAGCCGTGAGGTCCAAGCCATGAGATTCTATGCATTTGTTGTATTAATCCTGTTGCTCTTAAGCAAGTGGTACATGAGTGGAAGACACTCTCTTCAAGT